CAGAAAAAGAACTGGGGAATCAGTAAGGCCTCCTGTAAGAGGAAACATGAACTGAGTTCCAAAGGATGAATAGGAGCAGGTGCAGAGAGAGGGGAGAGGGGCTACCAGGCACAAGTGAGCACATAGGAAGGCCGGGAGGTCTGAAACTAGGGCCAGCATTACTAGGACATTCAGTTGGGCGGGAGAGCAGGGTGCGGCTGAGGACTGTCAGGAGATAAGACCAGAGCAGTACACGGGTGCTGATCGCTGATTGAGAAGGGCTCCTGGGGGTCAAGCTGAGATCGGACTTTATCCTCAAGCTATAGAATTTTAAGCAGAGGAGTGACACGGTTAGATGAGTTTTATTATTTTTATCTTTATTGCTTGTATTTGAAGTTATAAAAGCAGCTGAGAGACTTGGTCTTTTTAGAGAAATCATTTTGACAGCAGTGTTGAGGTTGGATTGGACGTGGGGAGAACAGAGGTAGGGAGGCTGTTAAAAGCCAAGCCTTGGTAGGGAACAAAAGGAGGGGATGAAGGGAGAAACAGGAAAGCAGCTCAGTCTACACATTTGGGCAGCTGATGAGGCACGTGGGGGTAGGACCCGGAGACGGAGGGAGGGCCTGGGGCAAGAGTGGAAGTTTAGGAACCCTCCCAAGTGCTTGCCGGACCTGCTGCCGGCTGGTTCTTGCTCATTCTAATCGTTGAAGATAGTACTTGGAATTTAAAAGGAGAAGGGTTGTTAATCAAAAGTAAAGCTCTCCTTTTGAGAAGCATATATAAATAAATAGGGCCTGACAGATAGGCACCCAGGCCCTTCTCTTTTGGTCTCAAAGGGGGGAAAGAAGCAATGAGAAAGGAAAAGAGAGACAAATCACAATGACAAGAAGCATTAGAAACCTTCTCTTGATAATTATTGATGTACAGATTGTTAGCACACCAGGTGATTTCTAATCCTAGCCCAATTCCCCTCCTGGCTTCTTAATGGCTGCTGGCCACTTCCTCTTGGGACCTGGCCAGAGTAAGCTCAGGAAATGCAAACTTTTAATTCTGGAATTAGTAAAGCATATTAGGAAAGGAAATCCACAAGTGAAGAAATCACATTATGAATTCCAAAGCCAAGGGAAAGGATTGTTAAATTAGATTGTGAATTCATTGGGAGCAGGACCATTTTACTCATTTTGGTGCAGGGCCCGAGTGATTGGTCTGGTCACTGTTCCAAGATTACCCAGGATTTGGCCTCTTCCATTCTTGGAGTTCTCCAAACTTCCATCCAGTACCTTCAGCTCTAGCCGCTGAGCTGTCTGCAGTCTTGCTTTGCACTCTTCTGCAGCAGGGGAGATGCCCTGCTCGGATGAAGACCCAACTAAAGGGTCAATATTCTTCATTACACCTATCTCCCCAGGATTTTGCATGAATCAGGTAACAGAATATACTCAAAAAGCCTTTGAAAACTCTGATTAGCCATACAGATGTTACCTGCTGTTCTTTATTCCTTGTTGTTCTGGCTGATGACTTAATTGACACTTGCTATTTTTTAGAAAGATTTATTGGGGCGCCTGGGTGGCTCAGTCATTAAGCGTCTGCTCAGGTCATGACCCCAGGGTCCTGGGATTGAGCCCTGCATCAGGCTCCCTGCTCAGCTGGAAGCCTGCTTCTCCCTCTCCCACTCCCCCTGCTTGTGTTCCCTCTCTCGCTGTCTCTCTGTCAAATAAATCTTAAAAAAAATATATATATAAAAAGATTTATTTGAGAGAGAGAGCACGCGGGGGAGGGGCAGAGGGAGAGACAGAATCCTTAGCAGACTCCTCGCAGAGCCCATCTCATGACCCCGAGATCACGACCTGAGACAAAATCGAGAGTCCGACACTCAACTGACTGAGCCACCCAGGCACCCTGCTATTTAATTTTTAACACTATGAGCTCAATGTGATGTACTATACACTCAATAGAATGCTGGGTACTTTTACACTTAATCCTCACAATATCATAATGTTTATTTTACCAGAGGCTCAGAGAAATTAACTTGCTCAAGAATATACTTTTTGTCCTTTTTAGGGTTAAAGAATTCTCCATGTGCTGCCCCGCCCCCCCACAACACTTACTACAGTCCTTCCCATTAGACTAGAAGCTGTGGGTGCCAGGAAAAAATTTTGTTCACTGTTCTCTCTATTCAGCAAATAAGCACATAGATGTTAAAAAAAACACACCAAAATACTATTTTCCTTATAACCTAGTGTTCACTGTCCGTCTTCTGCTCCTAGAATGTAAGATACATGGGAAGACCTACTGTGCTTTGCTCATGGTTGGATTCTCAAAGCCTAGAACAATGCTTGGGACATAGTTAAGAATCCAGTAAATACTTGCTGGTAAATAAATGAGAGCTGTGCAGACAAGCAAATTCTCCTTTTTGTGACATCAGTGCATTTTTTTCTGATGCTGATTCCAGTAAGATAATGTTTAAGTCTACAACACTGTGATGTGGGTAAGTGCTGAATGCTCTGGCTGAGTTAAACATTCACTTGCAGCAAAATGATGATCTGAGGGGGAACCACAGGGATGCTGTCCCCAAGAGCACGGTCTCCAGGAAGGGGGCACCGCAGGCTGACACAGGTGGCCCATGGACTCATACCCCACAGCTCTGGTCCAGACCAGCAAAATCATGACTTGAGACCACTGTGCTCTTGAGTTCCATGTCTCATCCTCCACCCTTACACCACATGCAACTCTTGAAGAAGCAGGAAAAAATAACCTGCTTGTAATAATCATCAGCTTCATTTTCTTAGGAGTCATGTTTCTTGCCAGAACCCTTCTAGATCAACTGTACTATTTTTCCCCTGTGTAAACCAGTATTACATGCTACATTAAATATTTTCTTTTAGTGTAAAAGTTACCATCACATTAAGAAAATTTGGAATGTAGAAAAATATAGAAAAAATCACGTCTAATTTTACCAGTCACAAAGTGATAAGTCTATCTGTATATGTTCTTTCCCCTGCCATGCATGTGTATATATGCATGTGTGTGTATGTGTACATATACATAGGAACTTGCATCATGGTAGTTTGTGTTCTTTTTTTTATATAAAGATTTTATTTATTTGTCAGAGAGAGACAGCGAGAGCACAAGCAAGGGGAGTGGCAGGCAGAGGAAGCAGGCTCCCCGCTGAGCAGGGAGCCCGATGTGGGGCTCCATCCCAGGACCCTGGGATCATGACCTCAGCCAAATGCAGGCACTTAACCAACTGAGCCACCCAGGTGCCCCCTGTGTTTTGCCTTTCTGTTTAACATCGTGCCATGTTTATACCACAAGGCCATAATAACCATTCATTTAAATAATTACTGATATACACTTTAGGATTAAAGACAGACATTTTTCTTATATAAATTCCAAATCTGGAATTCTTAGAAAGATGTGAACTCATGGCCCTTGACACACATCATGAAATTGCTGTCAATGTTAGTTAAATACCAATTTATTTGGCCACTAAGTGATAATTTATAATTTAAATCATGTTATCACTACATTATCAACGTAGTACAAAAAAATTAAGACCTCAAGTCTTCAATTTGCATTTAAGATCACTGCTGAGACAGACAACTTTAATCATGACTGGTTACTAGTTATATTTCTTCTTTTAGAATCATCACAAATATTGAGAGGAAATGTTTATCTGCTTTTAGTTGGGCCTCTCTTCCTTGGAGATGGTGTACTGTTAGAGCATCAGGAGCAAGGGTTTTGGGACTCACATCCCTCTTGTGAGCAAGAGCTGGGCATGTATGCCCCAACCTCATAAATTGTTCATTTCATCCATTCATTTACCAAAGAAAGACCATTACATTTATAAGAATAAAAGGAGGATCTGATCAAAAGGAGAATTTGATAATTTAGCTAATATTCTTTATTTTTTATTTTTCAAGTAGGCTCTACACCCAACGTGGGGCTTGAACTCAAACCCTGAGATGGAGAGTTGCACGCTCTTTTGACTGAACCAGCCAGGCGCCCCAAATTTAGCTAATATTATCTTTAAAAGTCACTTCCAAACTACCCTAAGTAATGATCCATCTTGGGAATTAGAAGAGCAATTTTTTCCCCAAGTATTAATTTTCTTTGATTTTTTTTTTTTATAGTCAGGTATTTACATTTGTGAAGCCCTTATTTAACATAAGCTCTCACATATCAACTAACCTTCCTGATAACCCTGGGGGGGAGGTGGTACTAATTATTATTAACACCTTACAGAAGAAAAAAACCTGATGCTTATGGAGGCTCGGTAACTTGGCTGAGGTCACACAGCCTCAATTTGAACTCAGGTAGCTTATATGGTTAAGCAAGCAGCAGGCTGCAATTCCACGGCTAGCTATCCCAGTCTCCTCTAGGCAAGTCAGGGTAAAAGTTAGCAAAACGAAGTAAATCCAATGCTCTTCAGCTTAAGATAATCTACACATACACATGGGTACTCTTCCCAATCACTGTTATTTGAATGATTTTGTCACTATGGCCCAGACTGGATGGGGGGGAAAAGGGGAGACTGAATCTAAAATGCTAAAGCTAGAACACACTTCAGAAGTGATGTACTTGAAACCCTCTAAATGCTTCTACCCTCTGAAGTAACTTGGCTTAATTGCTCAGATCTGGGCAAGCCAAGCAAGTTTGGGCTGTCGCTTCCTGTCAAGAACTGAAAGAATTTTCATATTGACACAAGTCTGTCATTAACCTCTTTCTTCGTGTCTTCTAGGCAAATGCCTGACCTGATTATTAAGACAACCCGTGTTGCAAAGGTGGAAATTTACTGTTCACCTTTCCTCATCTTTCCAAGCAAAACAGGGAGAAGGGGTGCATACCTGATTATTAGGTTTGTTATACTATGAACCATTTGCTAGGTAAAACCCAGTCATGTAGGTTTTTCATACAAACCGATACCCAATTTATCATTCTGAAATTCAATACAGTCAAACACTGACTCGTACAAAAATATTAAATGGCTTTTAACAATTTTTTTTTCCTTTTTAAAATACAGGATTAATATTGACATATGTATCTATGATACAAACATAAACTAAATTCAGACAACCCAAGAATTCAGAGGATTAGTCATCTGCGTGATTAAATCAGGGATAAAACACCTCTGAATTTTCCATAATTTGTTTTTACCATCATGCTTTCCTGAATATTTTGTAGAAATTATTCATTTATCATGACTAGTTAATTTAAATTCTCCACAGACTGGAGTATAGCACACTAATTAATACAGTCTTGTCACCATGATCTTCTGCCATTGACCAACCCATCAGTTTCTTAATTTTCCAGCTTTGGCTGGGGAGCCTGTTTCAGAGTATGCTCCTAAACACTGCCAAGCCTTTTTAGGCCCTACAACTACTTAAGAGCTGTATATGTTCTCTCTGTGACTTATGGAAGGTGCGGGACAGAAAACAAAGATAGGTGCTCTTTGCATACATTTATGTTTCCAAAGCAGCCTGTGAATTGGAAGAAAACAGTCCTCACATGGAGTAAAGGACAATACACTGGATCAGAAAGCCCAGCTGCTTCCTGGTGTTGAACACAACCTACAACACAAAGAGAATTCACTGACTGATAACAAAGAATAGATGGCACAGAGTAGGCCTATACTGGGTTTTAGTGTTGGCTGTTACCAAAACTAATCTTGAATAAATACTTTAATCCTGCCTCTTCAGAGGGAAAAAGTCAGGGTTGCACTGGGCAATAAAAGGTTTAATTCCAGCTTTGAAACAGTTTTTAACCCTTCACTAACAAGATTCAACTATTGAACAAAGACTAAGCAGGGTCTTAGGTATGGACGTAGCTCAACAATTGGGATGGAGTGATGGGGTTCAGAACAAGGCTGTCCCAAAATGTGCCACTTTGGCATGTGGAATATTTGAGCTGAAGGCAGCCGATGCCTAACAGACTGAAGAGCTTTTTACCTCACCTGTAATTGCCTAAAAGAATTTAGATAGGGAGCCTGTAGCAGGAAGAGCAGTATTACCTTTTTTTTTTTTAAACACAAGACTTCTCTGCATGGCATGGTTTACCAAACATTTGCTCTTCCCATCTTCTTGTAAATTGTCTTTATTCCTTTTGAGGCCGCAGACCCTACCCACCCCTCAGCTTTGGATGGCTTGTAAGTCTCAGTTGCCTGATTGTTTTTGACCCTCTCGTGTCTATGTGAAGTTCCCGTTATGTATGAAATTAAATTGTTCTCGTATCTTATCTGTCTTATGTCAATTTAATTATTAGGCCATCCAAAGAACCTAGAAAGAAGGGTAAGGTTTTCCTCCCTTACAGGAGAAAATAATCCTGTACTCCTCCTCCTCCACCCTACCCCTTTCCCATTTCCTTTACTTATATTACCTCATGGACAGTGATCCTCATTTTTATGGAAGGGGAAAGGAGGCACAAAGAGATTATGGACTCGGGTCGATGGAAAACAGCAGAGTCCCAACTGGAGCCCAGCCTGCCAACAATCACAGCAGGCTTCTCCCCTCAAATTCCTTCTCCATCTGCCATGACACTCAGGCATTGAAAGGGAAGTTTCATTGTGTTCTTAGGGTTAGCTGCTTTGGATGCTTTCAGAGAGGTAATTTCAAAATTCCCCTCTTCCTTACCTTAAAGAAAAGGAGGAAAGAAGAAAAGTAAAAATAAGCCATATACACAGCTCCCACAGCACACAAGCTAAATGATTTAATATTAGCAAGGGCCAAATTGGATCTTGATAATGAAAATGAAGACAGTAGTATTTTCTCAAGAAAATAAACATTTGGAGGGAGAAGCATTTCTTAAAAAAAAGAAAAAAAAAAGTTTATTTGGAAAAGCCAGCCTCTTACACAAAAGGTTTTGTACCTATACTTCACTGTGTCAATTACAATGATATTTTTAAATGCACTGAATATAATTTATTGAGTGTCTATCATTATCTTCTTGTGCATTTTAGAAGATATTAGGTTAAAAAATATTTACAGATTTCATTCTGGTCCATCCTCCCTACCTTATACTAAACTCATTTCTCTACTTTTCAAGTAAGTAAAAAGGGTCACAATACTTTAGTTTTGTGTGGAGTAGTAAGAATGTGTCCAATAATTATAAGCAAAACATAATTTTTTTCAGGCCTCAGAAAAAGAAAAGGAGCAACTTCCCTCCCAATCTTATTCCTACTGGTTTGCCTGAGGCCAAATCACTCTGGCTTTCTTTTATTAGCAAACATTAAAAAAAAAACAAATAAGCACACAAAGATTGAATATCTCACACACAGCTCTAAGCTAGACACAGATATAAATGGAACCACTATGAATCAATGGGGGAAAATTCCAGGAAAATCAACAACAAAAAAATTCTAAATCTCACAGTTTAACTGAGGTTTTGGTAAAACTGAAGCTGAATTCAGCTGCTGTTTGAAATATCTGTCTACATTTAATTAGATGTGTTGTATTTACTAAGGAGGTACAAATATATACTTTTGCATATTTTAAAATTAACTTTTATAGTGAAAAATACTAAGTAATTTCAAAGGGGGCAATGGTCTATAACCACTCAAAATTTGTCTTTGAATAAGGAAAATAGTAATTTAATGAAATAAATTCTCAAACACTAATAATATTAGCATCCCAAGAAAAGATTCCAGAGGGGTGCTGATGAGTACAATGTGTCTAGAACGGCCAAGATGTTTCCAAAGTTTTATGCCTTAAATTTCCTAAATATATAGCTTATCAGGCACTATGCCAGGCAACTACTGATGCAAGGAAAATATTTTAGTCAGGATTTTATAAAATCCCAACTTCTAACCAGTATTTCTATTCATAAATCTTCCAGTGGTGATGTCTGACAGTATATTACAAATAACAATGAAGCAAGATTAATTTTAAATTTTAGATTTGTCTGAAACAAGTTAGTTGTTATTTTTCCTTATAACATAACACTTAAAATAGATGAATTCAGCAGAATGGTTTAAAAAGTTAAGGCTCCCTAAAGAGTTCTAAAGACTAAAACTTAAGGCACATATTAAAATCTTCTGGACACTGTTAAAAGCTAGGATTTAAACAAACAAACAAACAAAAAAAACCCCCACACTACGTCCTTCTCTCATTCTTTGCCAACCACTCCCTCCCCAAAGGTACGGCATTTTTAATTCAGGCTGCTGGTAAGGAGTGAAAACAAAACTTCCATCACTGAACACCTGGTACAATTCCCACACACATGTCCACTATTGGCATTGAGCACCACTGCTGGATTACAGGCCAGTAGATATTTTCAGGGATCTTGGGTCACAGCTGCTTCATTGACCCTTGCGCCCCAAAGGTTTAGACTGGACTCTCCTCCTCTTTGGGACTTCCTTCTGTGTCTTTCTGCTCTGCAGATTCTGCTGCATATTCTTTTGGCTTCTCAGCAGCATCCACACTGGTCTCCTCCTCTTTGCTTTCCTTTTTCTGCTGCTTCTCTGCTTTCTGCTCTTTTGCCACGAGTTGATAATTGATGCCCATGCCAATAAAGAGATAGATGCCTGCTATAATGAGGATCACACCACATGCCCAGTAGGTGTATTTGTAGTCTCCATAGATGTCATTCAGACGACCTAAAGATATCCAAAACAAAGTTAGGTGGACAAAAGTAACCAAGTATACCTTCCCCAAAGAGAGCTGAAGGATCCACTCAGAAAGAAGATGACAACCAATCCTCAAAGAGCCCACAAATGACAGATTCATCTAAAAAGGAACTGTTAACAATGATCTCATCTTTTATGATGTCACATTTGATTTTAGATGGCCTTGCATATCCCATTACTTTTGCACCTTGAAAGTAATGAAGTCTTGGCCAATTGGAATGGGGAAAGACCCAGAGATCACCTAGAATCAAGTCTCTCCCTTCACAATGGAAAAATTTGTTGCTCAAAAGAGGTGTAGGAGTCTTGCCCCAGGCCCCAGAGCTAATTGCAGTCCCCCCGCCAGTGCTCTTTTGCTGACATCAGCATTCCCAAAAAGCTGCCCCCTCGTCGAAGCTACAGAATTAACTAACAGCAACACCTTTCCACCATCTTAAGTGCTTAGCCCTCACGACAGGCAGCATCTGTCATCACGCTCACTGTCTACAAAGTCAGACTTAAGAAAAGGCACATCCTAGGCTCCTCCAGTGAAGAGTCACCACGTGCATTAGCATATTAAAGGTTCTGCAAGGTCCTCTAGTAGAGCAATCTGTCAAACTTGGTGTTCCCCAAATGTTTTTGGCCATGAAATCCTCACGATAGTAGAATTTATTAGCACTTCACAAATTGGCATGTTAAGGAATAAACTCTGGAAAACCCTACTCTATACCTCAGAGAAGGACTGAATATAACCAATTCAAACAGGATTCCATGTGCTTTTCTAACTCAGGGCACTGGCCATCCAGCCAAACTCACTGAGCCTACGCTTGCACCAGGCACTGGGCTGCTGGCCGTGAGGATAAGGGAGGGCAGAGGAGAAAACCTCCACAGTTCAGTGGACAAGAGAAATGTTAATCAAATAATTACACAAACCGTGACAAGGAGGGTTTGCAAGCAGAAAATCGGGAGTTGGCAGCAGCAAGCAGGGTCAGGAAGGCTTCTCTCAAAGTGTAAATGAAGCAGAGACCTAGAGGGGGATGGGAGTTATCCAGGAGGAAGGGATGGCAGAAGGCTGTGGCCAGGGAACAGCAAGGGCAAAGGCAGGTGGGAGGAAGCGGGGTGTGAGAGGGAAGGAGGAAGGGCGGGGCTGCTGGAGCAGAGAGAACAAAAGGTGAGTGACAGGAAATGAGGCTGGAGACATTGGTGGCCAGGCTGGGAGGCGCCTTGAAGGCCACATTAGGGAATCTGATCTCCACCCTGACAACAATGGGAAGCAACTGGAAAGATCTAATCAGCTGGGCTATCAGGTTTGCATTTGCACAGATAAATTTTGCCTGCAGAGTAGAAAAGATTGAAGGCCGGATAGAATGGATATGGGTAGACCAGCCAGGAGGCTCGTGGATGGAGCAGCCCAGATGGGAGACAGGAGCTGTGGACAGGGTGGTGGTGTGATGGAAAAGTGGGCCCATTAGAAAGAGATTTAGGAGATGAAAACTGACAAGACTTGGCAATCACTGGATATGGGGAGGAAGAGAACAATATCAAAAGATAGCTGTAGGACTTCTTTTATGTATCCTCACTCACTAGCCAAATCATACTTTTAAGAAGTATACATCTAAAAGGAGGGCCAAATTATATTTTCACTAATGTTATCTAATGAGCTATTAATTTAAAAAATGAAGTATTTAATAACCTTAGGAAACAGTTCCCAAATTATATACTTACTTACTAGCCGTATGATATAAGGCAAATTATTTAACCTTTCAAAGTTTCTATTTCTTATGAAGTAGGAACTATGACAGTCCTATTTCATAGGCTTGTGAGATATACGAGGATATAGAAAATGGTTAGAAACAGTCCCTGGTAAACCATGAGCTTACATGGTAGCTATTATCAGCAGTGGAGTTGTATTTTACATGTTTTTCTACAACAAGCACGTAAGTTTTTGTTGTTGTTGTTGCTGTTGTTTGCTTTTTAATTTTTTTTTATTATTATGTTATGTTAGTCACCATACATCATTAGTTTTTGATGTAGTGTTCCATGATTCATTGTTTGCGTATAACACCCAGAAGCACATAAGTTTTTTGAAGAGAAAACATAATTCAAAAAAGAATGCCATTTGTAAAAATATTTGATTCACCTTTCAGGTTGTTGGTTCAGTGTAATCAATTCTGTAAGAATCTGAGCAATTATGCTGTGCCCAGCACTGTGCCAACACTGAGGCTACAGAAATGAGAAATACTTTCTGCCACCAAGCAGCTTACTAATCTTGGCTTTCTATCACCCTTTTCCATCTTCTATGCCTATTTCATGTTAACAGAACCAAAGAGGTAGTAAGGCATACTATACCTAAAAGTGGTGGCCCCAGGAGGACAGGACAGCATTCCACAATGGTCACCAATCCCACGGCGCTGGAGAACCTCTGGGGTCCAACGAGGTCCATCAGTGTTTCAAACAACACTGAGCTGAGCCACCCAAATGCAAATCCAAAGAATCCCGCATAGACACAGAACCCAATATAGCTGGAGGATAAAGGTGCTAGCAGATGACACACTCCATTTGCAACAACAGAAGCTGCAAAAAAATACTGAACTCGAGGTCTTATCCACTTGGTGTTGGCTACAAGTCCCATAGATGGTCTGGCTACCATGTCAACAAAAGCCAGAATGGAAAGAAGGAAGGCAGACTTCTCACTAGAGTAATGTTGACTCTTGCCATAATTACTAAGAAAGACCAAAGGGGTAAACAGTCCAAAAAACATGAGCACGTTTCCGGACAGGTATAGCAAAAAGCCTCTGTGTGTGAACAGAGATAAGTCCAGGAATTTATTAATTGTTTGGAAGACTGATTGTTTCTCTTCTTTGCGGTTTCCTCCAATAAGATCTGTACTTGCATCACCTGCTCCCTTTTTCTCATCAGATTTTCCAGCTTCCTGAAGGGATTCTTTAGACCTATCTTTCCCTGCACTTGTTGGTGGGGGCCCTATTGGTCGCATCAGGGCTCCAGCTACACAGCAGTTTAGTAGGAGACCCCCAAGAATTAAGAAGCTCCCTCTCCAGCCAAAGATACCAAAGAAAGCCTGATTGAGAGGGGCCAGAGTGGAGAGGAACACAGGGCTGCCTGCCATGGCCAGTCCATTCGCCAACGGTCGCCTCTTGTAGAAATACTTGCCAATCATGGTCAGAGCAGGATTCAAGTTGAAGGCAAGCCCAAGACCTGGGGAGGAGGGAGAAAAAAAATCACATAAATGTCAGAAACAAATCTGGAATTACATAACCAAACAAAGAAATTAAAATGAGAAGTATAAATAATACAAAGGAGATAAAAATCCTCACCACTACAGGACATACTGTATAGTGGTTTAAAGTATGGGATCTAGAACCAGACTACGTGGGTTCAAGCCTCAGCATCACTATTTACTGGCTGGTAGTATCAGACACGTGCGTGTTTCCTCATATGTAAAAGGGGACAAAGCACTACTGTGAGTAAAACACTCAGAAGAGTGCCTGGCATGTAGTAAGCACTCAATAAATGTTATTTTTATGATTGTTGCTTATATTATTTGTCTAGTCTTACAGAATCACCCGAGGAGTCACTGTAACAATAGAAGATCATTAAGTAGATAGTTACAATTAGAGACAAATTTTACAACAGAAAATGCAATACAAAATTATTCCTTTTACAATAGCTCCAAAAAGTAAAAAAATGTGCAATTTAGAATCACTACAATTATGTAACTTTCCTAAAGGGTTAGAGAATTAAAAAACCACACACACACACACACACACAGAATTTTTGGATAATAAAACACAGCATTATCAAGATGTCAGTACTCCCTAAATGAATGCATTAATTTAATGTGATTCCAATGAAATGTCAGTGCATTTCATTTTGGAATAGGTAAAATGACTCTAAAACATAGAATGCATGGGAGTCAACCAGAAAATTTTTGGTGGTACTGGAGGAGTGGGACAAACATTAACAGATATTTAAATGGACTTCCAAAAGCTACAGTCATTACAACAGTGTGGCTCTGACTCAGGTATAGGTAAACACTTATCAGTGAAAGTGGACAGAAAGTCCACGAACATACCTGATTTATATATATATATATGATTTAATATAAAATGATTTAACATAGATATGTGATTTAATGTAAAAGTGAAATTTTAAATTACTGTAGAATTTGTTCAATAAACAGTGCTAGTAAAAGTAAATATTCAAATAACTTCTAGATGCTCTCCCTGGCCCCCACTTGCTCCAACTCCCTGCTATTTATGTTTAAGCTATTCACAGAGGCTTAAACCAATACACCAGGGCAGATCACTCCCCTATTTCAGGCCTGCTATGGCTTCCCATCCATAACCTTTACGTTGGCCCTTACCTCTCTTCCTCATCTCATACCAGACCATTCTCACCTGTGCCAATAAGCACACTCCCCTAAATTTTCACAAAGCTTGTTCCCTGTTGCTACTCAAATCTCTTGGTTAAGGTCATCTCTTCAGAGTGACCTACCTTTGTAGACTACCCAGTCCTTCCCTCCCTGTCAGAACATTTTATTTTGAGGCTTTGTATAGCATTATCACTACCTGATATTTTTCCTATTTCTTCATACATTTGTGAGTAGTATTGTCTGTTTCCTCCCATTAAAGAGTATGATTTAGCTCTAGTTGTTGCCCTGTTCCCAACAAAATCTAGAACATTGCTTGACATACACATGGTTGTTAATAAATATTTGAGGAACTAAAAGAGCAAATGAACAAACTGACTAACCATGTGGGAACAAAGAGAGTTTCATACTTCTTTCTTCTCATTTTATGTAATGTTTTCTTCCATTCAGAAATTTTAAGTGTAAGAACTGGGGGGAGAACATATGTTTAAAAGTAGGAAAATATAATAAATGGAAAGACATTCCATGCTCATGGAATGGAAGAACAAATATTGTTAAAATATCCATACTACTCAAAGCAATCTTTGGATCAAAGATTGGATCCAATCTTGATCCAACCAAAGATGGATCAAAGCAGATTAAATGCAATCCTTATCAAATTACCAACAGCATTTTTCACAGAACTAGAACAAATAACCCTAAAATTTGTATGAAACTACAAAAGATGCCCAAATAGCCAAAGCAATCTTGAAAAAAAAAAAAAGAACAAAGCTGAAGGTATCAAAATTCCAGATTTCAAGTATATTACAAAACTGTAGTAATCAAAACAGTATGGTACAAGCACAAAAATAGGCACATAGATCAATGGAACAGAATGGAAAGCCCAGAAATAAACCCACGATTATATGGTCAATTAATCTTTGACAAAGGAGGCAAGAATATGCAGTGGGAAGAAGACAGTATCCTTAACAAATGGTGATGGGAAAACTGGACACTACATGCAAAAGAATGACACTGAACTACTTTCTTACACCATATACAATCATAAACTCAAAATGGATTAAGGACCTAAATGTGAGACCTGAAACCATAAAAATTCTAGAAGAGAGCAGAGGCAGTAATTTCTCAGACATCAGCTGTAACATCTTTCTAGATGGGAATCAAAAGTAAATATAAACTCTTGGGACTACATCAAAACAAAAACCTCCAGCACAGCAAAGGAAACAATCAACGAAACAAAAAGACAACGTACTGAATGGGAACAGATATTTGAAAATGACATATCAGATAAAGGGCTAGTAGCCAAAATAATAAAGAACTTATAACATATACACACACACACAAAACAAATAATCCAATTCAAAAATGGGCAGAAGACATTATAGATATTTCCCCAAAGAAACATACAGATGGCCAACAGACACATGAAAAGATGCTCAACACCACTCATCACCATTAAAACTACAATGAGGTATCACCTCACACTTGTCAGAATGGCTAAAATCAAAAGCTCAAGAAACAACAAATGTTGGGGAGGATGTGGAGAAAAAGGAACCCTCATGCACTGTTGGTGGGAAAGCAAGCTGGTGTAGCTACTGTGGAAGACAGTATGAAGGTTCCTCAAAAAACTAAAAATAGGATTACCATACGATCCAGTAATTCCACTACTGGATATTTGCCCAAAGAAGATGAAAACACCAATTCGAAGGGACATATGCACCCTGATGTTTACTGCAGCATTATTTACAATAGCCAAATTATGGAAGCAACCCAAGTATCCATTGACTGGTGAATGGATAAAGATGTGATGGATAAAGATATATATATATACACACACAGGAATATTATTTTTGTTAAGGATTTATTTATTTATTTGAGAGAGAGAGAGTGTGCACACATGCGTGCATGGGAGCGAGCGGCGGGGGGGAGTGGGGGGTGGGTGGGGGGAGGGTGCAAAGGGAGAGGAAGAGAATCTCAAAAACACTGCTAACTGAAAATAGAGCCCGAGACAGGGCTCAATCCCAGGACCCTGAGATCATGGCCCAGGCTGAAACCAAGAGTCAGATGCTCAACCGCTCAACGGACTGAGGCCACCCAGGCACCCCTATACAATGAAATATTATTTAGCCATAAAAAGAATGAAATCCTGCCATGGGCAACAACATGGATGGATCTAGAGAGTATAATGTTATGTTAAATAAGCCAAAGAATACAAATAGCATATGATTTCACTCATGTGTGTAATTTAAGAAACAAAACAAATGAACCAAGGGGCAGGGGGGAGACAAACCAAAAACAAACAAACAAACACAACAACACAACCCCAGACTCTTAACTATAGAGAACAAGGGGAGAGGGGGGTGGGGCGATGGGTGAAATAGGTGAAGGAGATTAAGAATACATTTATCTTGGGGCGCCTGGGTGGCTCAGTGATTAAATGTCTGCCTTCGGCTCAGGTCATGATCCCAGGGTCCTGGGATTGAGCCCCGCATCGGGCTTCCTGCTCAGCGGGAAGCCTGCTTCCCCCTCTCCCACTCCCCCTGCTTGTGTTTCCTCTCTCACTGTATCTATCTCTGTCAAATGAATAAATAAAATCTTTAAAAAAAAAAAAGAATACATTTATCTTGATGAGCACTGAGTAATATATGGAATTGTTGGAGCACTAGACTGCACACCTGAAACTAATGTAACACTATGCTAACTACACTGGAATTAAAACACAATTTAAAAAAAGTAGGCAAATATATTCATAATCTTAGAGTGTAGAACTTTGTAATAATGATATACAAGACAAAAATCATGAAGTATTGAGAGTTTTGAATACCTGAAATTGTAGATGAAGAGGGAAAAAAGTGGAATAAGACTAAATTAAAAAACTTTCTTCCAAACAAAATTCAACAGAAAAAAATTAATTGGGAACAGATATTTGGGGGGAGGGGGAATAGGAAGTTACTGTTTAATGGGGACAGGGTTTCAGTTCTGTAAGATGAAACAGTTCTGAAAATGGATGGTGGAAATGGTTGCATAAGAATGTGAATATACTTAATACCACTGAACTGAATACTTAAAAAGATGGTTAGGAATGTAAATTTTATATGTATTTTACCATAATTAAATGTAAAAAAATTTTTGGAAAAATAACTGTCTTTTTTTTTAAGATTTTATTTATTTTGAGAGAGAGGGAGTGTGAGAGAGAGAGAGAGAGAGAGCATGAGCAGGGGGGAGGGGCAGGGGGAGAGGGAGAAGCAGACTCCCTGCTGAGCAGAGAGCCTGACATGGGGCTCAATCCCAGGACCCTCAGATCATGACCCGAGCTGAAGACAGACACTTAACCTGAGCCACCCAGGCACCCCAAAATAACTGTCTTATGCAAAGGGATAATAATTTAACCTATAAAGTTATTACACATTATTTTTAAATAGGTACACAAAAGCAGTCAATAAGCATTTTGTACAAAGACAATAAACAAAAAACCCCAAATATATAGCCACAAACATATTAAAAACATTTACTTTCCTAATAGAGATTTAAATTAAAATCAGGAAATACTGTTCACCTGTTAAATGATTCACCTGGCAATAATTAAAAAGGATAATATCCCATTGTTGTCAAGGCTGTATGCCCTCTCACATTATGGTGAGCATGATCTTTTTGGCAATTTAGCTCATATGTATCTTTAAAACACACAGCAGTTCCACTTTTACAAAATTATCCTAAGAAAATATTCATGTTCACGAAGGATTATCAACACAGTACTGTTTATTAATAGTAAGAAAATGTAAAAAATAAAAACCAAAACCCTAAATATTGAACAATTAACTAAGAGACTGGTCAAATAAAATTATGGTATGTATCGGGGTGCATAGCTGGCTCAGTCAGTAGAGCATAAGACTCCTGATCTCGGGGTTGTGAGTTCAAGCCCCATATGTGTCATACAGCTTACTAAAAAAATTATTGTACATATCTATTCAATGGAATAACAGATTAAAAATCTTGTAGTATTTAATGACATGGAAAGATGTTCATGGTATCCTGTTAAGTGAAAAACTGGTTACAAAACATTATCTGATCATTTTTTGTATTAAAAAAGGTTTTATCTTTGTGCACAGGAAAAAGTATGGAAAGATATACATCAAAATGTCAATAGTCATATTCTCTGGATTGTGAAATTATGAATAATCTCTATTATACTCATCAGCAGTTCATTATTTTAATTTGGCTACCAAAAAAGGAGGGAGGAATTATTAAGTGGGTCTTCTATCCCTCAGAAATGTATTTGGACATTCTGCCAGATAATTCCTGCTTTATATTCTATACTCTCTCCTGCTCCAGTAGAAGCCTATTCCCTGTGCGAAGAGGTAATGAGAAAGAGTAATAACCAATGATCACCTTTGCAAGAAGTTGCCTAACACATTTTATCTACCACCACTGACTATTCTTAGGACAAGGGATGCAATCATCTCTTTCATTAATCATTCATTCAACAATGAACACCCTCTGTATAACAGGAATTTCTTTAGAAGTTTGCTTTTCTAGTACCCTTTAATGTATCTATAGCTCTTCAAAATGATAATCAAGTAATTTCTATAAGGTAGGAATTTCACTCAAAAGATCTGAAAGATGAATGTTAAATGAATACCAAATAGCCAGCAATAAATTAATGCTTGAAAATGAATCAACAGTAACTTACCTCCAATGACTCCAACACACAAGTAAAGTTCCTGAACAGTATTACAGAAAGAAGCCGCAATCAAGCCACAGCCTGACAAGCAGCCACCAGCAATCATGATTGGACGACTGCCATATTTATTCACCAGGATACTGCTGATAGGACCTAGGAGAGAACCAGAAATTTAGTAACACAGAGGAAAGGAACTAACTCCCTCATATCTACACAAGGCATTGATGCTAAATGACAAGTCCTTTAAAATAGATAAAAACAAAGACAATGGTAAGAATATTGTTTTCTACATTTATTTCATACTCAAAGGTGTATTGGAAAATAAAGATGCTAAAAAACATCATTGTGTATCTCATCTATAAATATTGGATGGAATTTTACTAAAATATAAGACTCTGGTTCTCTCCTTGATCTTCCTCTTATAAGGCAGAACTGGCTGAGAACACCTTGGTAATGGATGTTGATAGGCTTGTTGATGATCTAGGATATGATAAATATATTTAGTAAGTTTGCTCTGTTTTAATTTTTGGACAGGCACTCTGATATGATGATATTAGAGCATTATTTACACATTATCATAAATGTAGTTTGTGTCATATTTTTTAAAAAGAAAAAAACCCTGAAAAATACAAAATTATTTTTTTCAAGTTTAAGTAGCTTTGCAATTAGGAAATCTAAATTGAGGGCACCTGGGTGGCTCAGTCGTTAAGCGTCTGCCTTTGGCTCAGGTCAAGATCCCAGGGTCCTGGGATGGAGCCCCGCATGGGGTTCCCTGCTCCGCGGGAAGCCTGCTTTTCCCTCTCCCACTCCCCCTGTATGTGTTCCCTCTCTTGCTGTGTCTCTGTCAAATAAACAAATAAAATCTTTAAAAAAAAAAGAAATCTAAATTGAAAACAAAAAACTGTTCCCAGTTATACCTAGACGTCTCAGGTACTGAATTGAGTATTTCTTTAGAATTAACCTGATTCCATGCCTAAATTACTGTTTCATGGTAGCAGTACTGTGAAACAAAGCTTTCAGGAGATTAAGTCAAATGATGGTTAAAATATCTTGGATCTAACAATTCAAGAAGATAGGAAATAGTGTTATCTAAGATAATCTGATAAAATTTCCTCTTATAAAGAGATGCATACCAAAATTATCAGTTTTTCTTCAATGTGAAAGAAGGAACCAAATAAAATGTGAAGTATTATAAGGATCAAGAAAAAAAAGATTTGATGAATTTAATGTATCAGTTTTCAAATATGAGTATCAAATGGGCTCTCCTTACTTGCTACAAATAGGTATAATCTGTAATTCCCCTTTCCAAGTTTTTTAAGATTTTATTTATTTGTGTGGCAGAGAGAGACACAGTGAGAGAGGGAACACAAGCAGGGGAGTGGGAGAGGGAGAAGCAGGCTTCCTGCAGAGCAGGAAGCCTGATGATGTAGGGCTCCATCCCAGGAGCCGAAGGCAAACGCTTAACGACTGAGCCACCCAGGCACTCCCCTTTCCATATTTTTAAGTGTTAATTATAATAAACTCTTAGTCAAACCAAACAATGTTTCAAAAGCTGTAACATGGGGTGCCCGGATGGCTCAGTCAGTTGAGCCTCCAGCTCTTGGTATCGGCTGGGGTCATGATCTGGGGTGGTGAAATTAAGCCCTGCATGGGGCTCCACACTCACCAGGGAGTCAGCTTGCAGATTCTCTCCCCCTGCCCCTCCCCCCCTGCTTGCATGCACGCTCTCTCTCTCTCTCTCAAATATCTTTAAAAAAAAATAAAAGCTGTGGGGCGCCTGAGTGGCTCAGTTGTTAAGCGTCTGCCTTCGGCTCAGGTCATGATCCTAGGGTCCTGGGATCAAGCCCCACATCAGGCTCCCTGCTCAGCGGGAAGCCTGCTTCTCCCTCTCCCACTCCCACTGCTTGTGTTCCCTCTCTCGCTTTGTCTCTCTCTGTCAAATAAATAAATAAAATCTTAAAAATAAATAAATAAAAGCCGCAACACAACTCTTAAGTAGACTAACATTATTTTCTGATTATACTGAATGATATTCATTGCATTTTATTTCTTTATAAAAGAATATACCTCTGTCTGTACTTCATGGATATGGACTTGGGGGAATGACAATTTTGTTTACATGACACCATACCTTATCTGCCTGGTTAAGGTAGAGGACTGCAAACAGAGAGGATCACTGCAATGCATCAGTAGGGAAGGGCACACAAGGAAATGAACTGAGGTTTGAACTTTGCAAAGTCACTAAGCTACCAAGAACCAAGTTTCAAATCCAGCCCATTTTCTCCCTATTACATTGTACTCCATATTTTTGGAACTAAGCTATTAAGCAGAAGACATAGAAATTATATTTTCTTCTATTAGCACAGTAAATTCTGACATTATGTTCATTCTATAATTAGTTCCTTAGAAGACAGTAAGTCTATTTTTTAAAAATATGGAATGTACGTATTCAGAATATATTATTGGTTATATGTTGACATATTCTATTTCCATAAACACTATGGAAAATTCTGCAGTTACATATATTCTAGTACTATACTCAAAGCTGCAGTATGATTCAATTAAAAGGTCAGCTCTGACCCCAGGGAACCCAAATTTAAATTATGGTGTACGTAAGCATGCAAGAAGGAATCAAACCTTTTTTTCTTCTTTTTAAAGATTTATTTGAGAGAGAGAGAGAGAGAGCACAAGCAGGGGGAGTGGCAGCAGGAGAAGGAGAGGAAAAAGCAGGCTCCCTATTGAGCAGGGAGCCAGACTCGGGGCTTGATCCCAGGACCCCAGGATCACGACCTGAGCTGAAGGCAGACGCCTAACAGACTGAGCCACCCAGGTGCCCCAGAATCAAACCTTTTGATATCCTAGTATTTCGGAGGACTAAGTCTCTTTAAGGCTGGATCAAGAACTGGTTGCCAGGAGAGATTTCAGGCCCAACCAAGGATATGTATAAAGAAGTTTTCATTGACTTTCTAAGTCACTTCAGGAAAATATTAGACCACGGCTGGTTTGGAAATAATTTGAATTTACAGCTTGTGTAAGATGAAAGAATTAAATACTGAAAGAATATTCATGAAATATTTTCATATAAATTGGTCATGAAATAGATTTTGTATAGTCAGAATTACAAAGATCAAAATATTGCCACACTATTGACTCGTGAAGAACACTGGAACATCTGTAATATTAAACCAGGAATGTTAAAGACATCAGTGTGAAACTGAAAATATGCAAATTTACACTTTCCTGTTTTAAAAAAAAAAAACTAGGAAAACTCAAATAAAAAAAAAGAGTAGGCAACTAAAATCTCCTCCCCTAAAAATATACTCACACTCCAACAAGCATCAGTACGTATCTCTGAACCAAAGTACTAAAAAAAAAAAAAAATACTAAACCACTGGTAGTTCAAAACATATTAGTGTTGAGGGTGTGGCCCAAATACACTAAGTTAAAGAATTGTGGCAGTTGAAAAACTGATAATTCCTAGGGGATATACCACTTTGGAGCCAATCAAAACAAAATAACCCATTTAGTAAAAATTCTGCCACAAGGCTCTCGATAGGCAATTTGTCTTTCAGAGTTATTTCAGGAAGGATGGCCCCAATTAGCTATCATTAAAAATAGAGAGGGGTACAGTTCATAGGCCTATTATAACACAGATTCAGAGAAATGTGCTAGTTATGTCTGGGTGAGGACAAAGAAGGAACTGTTTTCCCAGAAGAAACTGTCATGTGCCATTAGTACAGCTGACATCACTTACTTCTGATGCAAAATGCGAGTGGCTCTCAAGCTCTTGCGCAGCTCCAAATTGCAACATGGGAACCCCTGGTTTATAGTCAGCTTAAAGATACCCTGAGCACCTGGAGTACGTCTGGATAATATTTGTACCAATTTCTTCAAGCCATCATAGTCAAAACCTGATCAGAAAATCCTGGCAGACAGAGTTCAAAGCTTCCAAAACTATTGGCTCTCAGAAACTAGATAATAATCCAAAGTCCCTTTTGATTTCTCTGAACTTATAAAAAGAAAATAAGTACTACAATTTAGCACTTATGTTCTCTAAAAGTACTTAATAGACAAAACAGGCATACCGTCAAAATTCAAAAGGCATAAAATAAAAAGATATAGAGCGGAAAAATATAAGTCCTCCCAGTCACCTAATTCACCTCTCCCTAAGGCAACCAGGTTACCTGTTTTTTCTGTGCAATGAAATTATATATTTAGTTAAATTATGACTTCAACTATTTATTCTTGTTTCATGAGTTTATGTTATTGTCTCAATAGGATTATAAGCTCCCCAAAGGCAGGTATCAGGATCAAGTGTTCTCTATCACTCACAATATCTAATCTAGTGTGAAATATGTGCACAGGGCTTAATATTAGTTGACTCTGCCACCAGGTTACTGGAATTCCAAGAATTCAAATTCTAAGGTTTTACAGTTGAAATATAGAATCTTTATATTGGCTATTAAGGAGCTACATGTGAAAATAATGAGATACTAAACTGCCACCAAAAAGTAGTATTAACAGAGGTGAAAGTTTGGCTAACTAAGCACTGTCAATCTCAGTAAATAAGCACACTTGGATTTAGAATCTCTCACTAAGCAACTATATATTTTAAGTATTATGGAAGGTTTTGACTTTTACATGTTACATTGTGATTTGATGTTCCAAGGTGCAATGAATAGTATTTTATTTTATTATTTATTTTACAAATTTTTATTTTATTTTATTTATTTTTATTATGTTAGTCACCATACAGTACATCATTAGTTTTTGATGTGGTGTTCCATGATTCATTATTTGCGTATAACACCCAGTGTGCATTACAACACGTGCCCTCCTTAATACCCATCACCAGGATAACCCATCCTCCCACCCCCCTCCCTTCTGAAACCCTCAGATGGTTTCCCGGAGTCCACAGTCTCTCATGGTTCATCTCTCGCTCTGATTCCCCCACCCCCCGCCCCGCTTCAGTTTTTCCTTCCTTCCCCTAATGTCCTCCATGCTATTCCTTATGTTCTACATATGAGTGAAACCATATGATAATTGTCTTTCTCAGCTTGACTTATTTCACTTAGCATAATCTCCTCCAGTTCCATCCATGTTGATGTAAAAGTTGGGTATTGATCCTTTCTGATGGCTGAGTAACATTCCATTGTATATATGAACCACATCTTCTTTATCCATTCATCCATTGAAGGGCATCTCGGCTCCTTCCCCAATTTGGCTATAGTGGACATTGCTGCTATGAACATTGGGGTGCATGTGCCCCTTCTTTTTCACTACATCTGTATCTTTGGGGTAAATACCCAGTAGTGTAATTGCTGGGTCATAGGGTAGCTGTGTTTTTAACTTTTTGAGGAAACTCCATACTGTTTTCCAAAGTGGCTGCACCAATGAGCAGTATTTTAAATGATGTTAAGTAAGCAACTTACTCTCCATATTTCCTTTAAACATGGCAAGGAAAACAGCAGGGAAAAAAATGATGAAACTTAAGTTTAAGGTTCAGCTGAAATGCTTTTAGGGGGAATAACATCACAAGGAAGAAGAGGAAGATTTTTTTCAGTTCTTTAATTCTAACACCATGCAAAGATTTTACCTGAGACTTTGAACTATGTTATTCAGGTGAGCCTGATTTACTCTAATTCTCCCAATATCAATTTAAGAAAAGTCTTTATTTGCGGGATGCCTGAGTGGCTCAGTTGGTTACGCATCTGCCTTCGGCCCAGATCATGATCCCAGAGTCCTGGGATCGAGTCCCGCATCAGGCTCCTTGCTCAGGGGGGAGCCTGCTGCTCCCTCTGCTTGTGCACACGCTCTCTCTCTCTCTCTCTGACAAATAAATAAATAAAATTTAAAAAAAAGAAGAAGAATCTTTGTGTTTACATCTTAAGAGTCTAGCAGAGAGCAGTAAGAAAAATCAGCTGTGCACATACCATTTTTCTGAGAGCTTTTTAATGATACGGAGTTGGACCAAATCATAGGCCCTCACAGTTTCTCATTTCTGTTCAGAATATTACAGTGGAACAAACAGATCAAGAGTGGTCATGGTTGGGGCGCCTGGGTGGCTCAGTCGTTAAGCGTCTGCCTTCGGCTCCTAGGGTCCTGGGATCGAGCCCCACATCGGGCTCTCTGCTCAGCAGGAAGCCTGCTTCTCCCTCTCCCACTCCCCCTGCTTGGGTTCCCTCTCTCACTGTCTCTGTCAAATAAATAAATAAAATCTTTAAAAAAAAAAAAAAAGAGTGGTCATGGTTAATGGGAATGAAAAAACGTGACTAAAACAGCAGGCCTTGGGGGTACTTACCTCCACCATACATGACAGCCAACATGATTGAGGATATCCATGACACTTCACTGGTGGTGGCATTGAATATGCCTTCAATTTCTTTGAAGAACACAGTAATGGATTTGGGAAATGCGTAAGAGAAGCCGATGGAAATGAAAGCTCCAACTACTACTGCCCACCCCCAGCCTCCATCCGGGGGAGTGTATCCAACTGGACCTCCAACTACTGGTGGCATTTTAAGTGTAGATGATTTCCAAAATGCAGTTCAAATCCAAGTATCTGAAGGATATAAAATTAAAATACCATGTCAGTAATAAAGCACTGGCCTTTATAGCCAGCTCTCAAGTAACTGAATTGTTTCCCAGTATTACTTTTCCAATAGAGATGATCTTCTAAGGACATTATCAGAAAAAGTCTTAAAGCCATGGTATTACCCATAGTAGCTTAAAGGAAAACAGCTCCATACCATTTAAGGAACCATAACTGACATAAATCCTGTTTAATACATATAGCCTTTGTATTTCAAATAAGCCTACTTGTTTCAGCAGTTAGTATAATTCCTCAAATTACTATGAGTAACTAACTGCCTCATTTGACTTATCTGCTTGCAAAATTCACGTAACACATGCCATATGCAAGTTTCAGGCTTAAACACAGGCTTTATAAGTTTTCCCCCTTTCCCAAAATTTATTCTTCCATACTACTTTCTTTTTACTTTCTCTTATTTATATGTTGACAAAATATTAGGAAGTGGGCACCCGAGTCACTAGATACATAGCAATTTACAAAATAGATAATTCTGAACATACAAGAATTTCATTTAGTGGGCTGGAAAATTCTCTCAGAAAAGTTTCCTTTTATCGATCTAATTGCTTTGATTCAAGGTATTTTTTTCCATTATACAAAAGAAGGCCCTAAACAACAACTAGTCAATATAGTTAAACTCACAAATTCAACTATGATGTCAAAAGATGGTACTTCAAATAAAAAACTGCCCCTTTTTCTTGAAGTCATCTAGTACTAATGAACAGCATGACGAGAAAATGCAACTTCCTGTTAAATTATGAATAGATGATAGAGTGAGTGTGTGATGGTAGGCTTGCCTGTTTTCTCATGAAGGTCTCCTTTTATTTATTTGAAGCTAACTTCTACCTTATATTATAACTCATCCTGCAACACTATGTTAGTATGTCCATTTCAAATTATCTCCACTCAGATTTATTACAGCAATAAATACTGGTCACAGAGGACAAGTTCACTCTTTGCTACATTCTTTAGTCTAAAATACAAATCCTAGCTTATAGTATAGTAGTAGTATAGTAGTCAACTGGTAAATACTGTTTCTTCCAACCCATTTGGAATTTCAACCCACTTCAAATATGATTTAAGACAATGAATCTTGCAGGGATAGGAAAAAAATAGCCTATAGGGGAAGTTTCCCCTAAAAGCAACAGTATAGGTTTCATCACTTCTACTCAAACGTGTATGTACTAGAGGTTCTAGCCTCTACTGTGTGCAGCAAGAAAAAAGAAATAAAAGGTATAAAGACTAGAAAGGAAGAAGTTGTCTTTATTCACAGATGACATAACTGTCTATGTAGGCAATGCTAAAGAATATTTAAAAAAAGGTACATGAACTAAAAGTGAAATTTAACTAGGTTTCAGGATGTAACAGTAATAAACAGAAATCATCTTTTTTTTTTTTTTTTGAAGATTTTATGTATTTATTTGAGAGAGAGAGCACATGAGACGGGGGAGGGTCAGAGGGAGAAGCAGACACCCTGCTGAATAGGCAGCCTGAGGCGGAACTTGATCCCGGGACTCCAGGATCATGACCTGAGCCGAAGGCAGTCGCTTAACCAACTGAGCCACCCAGGCGCCCCAGAAATCATCTGTCTTTATACATAAACCAGCAATTAGAATTTGCAATTTTAAATAATACCATTTACAACAGCATCAAAAAACTATTGAATAGGAATACATCTGGCAAATAATGTATAAGATGTATACACTGAAAACTACAAGATACTACTAAGAAATTAAAAAACAAAAGATAATCCATTCTCATGGTTTGAAAGACTCAATATTTAAATTAGGTAAATACTTCTAATGTCACATAACAGCACATTTATTAAAAAGTGTATAAATTGGATTTCAAGCTACAGATTGGGAGAAAATAAATACAAAACATATCCAACAGAAGACATGTCCAAAACATAAAAAGATCTTCTATGAATCATTAGTAAAGACAACTCAATTAAAAACGGACAAAAGAAATGGACAGATAATTTATCAAAGAAGATACATGGATGACAAAGAAGTACATGAAAAAATGCTAAAAATTGTTAGCCATTTGTGAAACGCAAATTGTAATCAAGAGATACTAATACATATCTACTAGAATGGCTAAAATTAAGACTGATAATACCAAGAGTTGGTGAGGATTTCATGAAGCCAACAGAATGCTGTTGCTGATGGTAAAGCAAAATGGTACAGCCAGGTCGGAAAACATTTTGGCAGTTTCTTAAGAAGTTAAACATACAAACATATGACCTAGCCATTACATCCCTAGGTGTTATCCAAGAGAAATGAAAACATACATCTTCACAAAGACTTATATGAGAATTCTCTAATAGCTTTATTCATAATAGCCCCAAACTGAAAACAACCCAAATGTCCATCAACAAGTGAATGGAAAAATCATGGTATAGCCATATACTGGAATGATAAACATGAACAAACTAACGATGCATGCAAGAACATGGATGAATCATAAAAGCTTTATGTTAAGTGAAAAAAGACAGGACATAAAAATATTCTGTATGGTCACATTTATATCAAGTTTTAGAAAAGACCAAATTCTAGTAATAGAAAACAGATCAGGGGGTTGGAGAGAAGAGGTTGACTGCAAAGTGGCCTGAGAGAACGTCTCTGGGTCATGGAAATGCTCTGTTATGATTGTAGCAGTAGTCACCCATCAAATTGCATTTACTATATGTAAATAATACCTCAGGGGCACCTGGGTGGCTCAGTTGGTTAAGTGTCTGCCTTCAGCTCAGGTTATGATCCCAGGGTCCTGGGATCAAGCCCCATTTGTCGGGCTTCCTGCTCAGCAAGGGCCTGCTTCTCCCTGTCCCTCTGCCACTCCCCTGCTTGTGCTCTCTTACTCTTGCTCTCTCAAATAAAAATCTTAAAAAAATGCCTCAGTAGAATTGGTCAAAAAAAATAGTTCAAAGACAGTGACAAGGAGGATAAAATCTGTTCAGTGGCATGTGGAGACAATACAGAAGCAAAAGGTAATGGCAGGCAAATTCTCTTTCTTGGCTATCTGGTGGTTAAAGAAAGAAGAGAAAAAGGAAGAAGACAAGGAAGAGGAGACAATGCTCTCTTCTGAGAATTCACAACTACAGGACTGGGTGAGCTTGTGCTTGGCAGGTCAATGTCTGTGGGAAACCTCTGTTGTTCTTTTAGAGATATATGTTTGACTTTACTAGCAAAGACTTCCCACAGACAAAGCCCTGCCAAACATAAGCTGACAATCTAAAACTTCCTATCTATCTATCTATCTATCTATCTATCTATCTATCTATCTATCTATCATCTATCTATCTAAAGTGGGCTCCATGCCTAGCGTGGAGCCCAGCGCAGGGCTTGAATTCACAACCCAGAGATCAAGACCTGAGCTCAGATCAAGAATCAGATGCTCAACCGACTGAGCCACTCAGGTGCCCTGACAATCTAAAATTTTAAAACACATCAAGAATCAATTAACCATGAGTGAAGTAAAGTCAATTCAATATAGCTGGATTAGACACAAGAACTACAGACATTGGATGTGAATATTTAAAATGACTAAAAGCATGAGATAAGAAATTAAGACCACTAAATAAAAACAAACATATTAAATACTATTAAAAGGCCAGTTGACTTGAAACAGAACTTCCAGAAATAAAAAGCATGCTCAATGAAATAACAGGTTAACCAGCAGACTGAACATAGCTGGAGAAACAATGAATCTAAAGGCTAGGTTTGAAGAAAATAGAATTCAGGGGAGAGCTTTATTCTGGAGCTGAGAGAGGAAGATTTAGAAACACGGAGTTGAGAATGGGAGCATCTGGCATACATCTAATGGGACTTGGGAAGAAGAGAATGGAGAGAATGGGAAAGAGGTATTTTCAGGGGTTAATGGCTATGGCTATTCCAGATTTGATGAATAATATGAACCTACAGTTTGAGGAAACCCAACAAGATAAAAAGAAAAACTTAAAAAAAAAAAAAAAAACCATTGAGAAAATACAGATTACATAACCAAGAGATAGTCAAACTGACAAAACAGAATTCTCATCAATTTTGAAAAACTCTCGGGCGCCTGGGTGGCTCAGTCGTTAAGCGTCTGCCTTTGGCTCAGGTCATGATCCCAGGGTCCTGGGGCCGAGTCCCACATCGGGCTCCTTCCTCGGCGGGAAGCCTGCTCTCCCTCTCCCACTCCCGCTGCTTGTGTTCCTGCTCTCGCTATCTCTGCCTCTGTCAAATAAATAAATAAAATCTTTAAAAAAAAAAAAAAAAAAAAAGAGGGCGCCTGGGTGGCTCAGTTGGTTAAGCGACTGCCTTCAGCTCAGGTCGTGATCCTGGAGTCCCAGGATCGAGTCCCACATCGGGCTCCCCACTCGGTGGGGAGTCTGCTTCTCCCTCTGACCCTCTCCCCTCTCATGCTCTCTCTCACTCTCTTAAATAAATAAATAAAATCTTTAGAAAAAAAAAAGAAAGAAAGAAAAACTCTCAGCCACTATGTCTTCAAATATTCCTTCTTCCCCTTTCCCTTCCTCCACTCCCCTGAGACTCCAATTGGATGTGGGTTGAACCTTCCCATGGTATCTACTTTCTTTCTCTTCTGTGTTTTCCATCCTTAGTACAGTTCCATCTATACTGAGAATTTGAGGCTTAGGATAGTATCCTCCTCCTGAGTGATTTTCATTTACCTAGGGCTATATAAACCTAGAATCTCTTCAAGAATATTTCAAGGACCAAGATGTTTTGGTCATACAGATGACTTGAAATCAGGTTGCAGTTCATTTGAGGACTGGTTTACCTCCAATGCACCCTTATTCCTATGGCACAGCCCTTTAGGATCCCAACCATTAAGAACAGAACTCTTACTCTTGATGGGCCCTAGACTCCCAACATTTGTTCCCTTGGATCCATGAAGCTTTCCAAAGCACTACTCGGGCCACCAAGAGTTGCTCCTCCTTCTATAACCAGAAAGCCACTGACTCCATAATCGTATCACTACTGGCACAATTAGGAAGCCAGCAATATAAAAAGCTGCCAAAATCAAGTAATCATCAAAATCAGGAAGTTGCAATTAAAGGTTGTTAATTTCTGCAGTTAGCTCCAGAACCGTATGTGCCTCCCATGATAACATCATCAAGATGGATCCCACATGCCCTGCTTCTTAAAATCTCAAAGCTAGTGAGTAGACATCAAGAACTCTGTTCTAATTCTGCCTTACAAATGTCATATGAAGGGGCGCCTGGGTGGCTCAGTCGTTAAGCGTCTGCCTTCAGCTCAGGTCATGATCCCAGGGTCCTGGGATCAAGCCCTATATAGGGCTCCCTGCTCTGTGGGAAGCCTGCTTCGCCCTCTCCCACTCTCCCTGCTTGTGTTCCCTCTCTCACTGTGTCTCTCTGTCAAATGACTAAATAAAATCTTAAAAAAATGTCATATGAAAACATGTGACTGGCAGAATTTAAATCAAATTCAGGAATATAGTTGCAAGGAAGCCTGAGAAATGGAAGTTTAGCTTTAAAGTCTCTGCAACATATTAATGTACACTAGAAAAGAGGATGTGTAATGGATGCTAAACCTCATTTCCAAAATACACCTTAGACATACACAGTATGTTTTATGTAAAATTTTAAATCATGTAAAACTATGTATGTGTATACCAGGGTCTTTATAAAGAGTATATATTGATACTATTATATACAAACATATACAAAATGGGTATACACAAAAATGAAAAAAAATTGCTATAAAAGTTTCTAAATGCTTACCATTAATGTTTGTACTTATCTCATCATGGACTGGCAATACACAATAGAGCAGCACTGATCCCGTGGGCATACTTGGTAGTGCTCCTTCAGAAGTGTCTGGGAGAAGTGGTTCAAGAATGTTAGGCAAGGGCATCTCCTCCAAATCCTCCTGGTACTGGAACTTCCCAAAAGGAAGTACTAGCCAAAATTGATGTAATCTGATATAGATTGGAGGCCACCACAACAATTATGAATTTGTTCCTATCAGGAGTTTCCTTTCATTAACTTGTTAGGATGGGTGAAATTGTGTCACAATATAATTCTCAACCTATTCTTGTTCATTGGTGGAACAGACAAACATGGCTGATGAAAAGGTGAAGTGCCCAGGGAAACAGAGAACATACCATCCATTTCCTTTACAGAAGAAGTTTAGACAGTATGAGGAGACATTTCTGAGAGTCACAACCTCACTAGAGTTGCAGATAGGTCCTAATCTCCTGAAGCATAATTCTCCATTGTCAAAGAATACTTTTTGCACAGCCAGAATTGCTGGCTTATCCGGACTTCAGGCACTTGGCCTATCTGAGGATCCCTAGCTTGTTCTCTATGTGAAAATAGTGTCAACATCCTAAAATGATATTCTTTTCCTTGGAACTCTAGTCTTGTTTTAGTCAGTATGTACATTATTATGTGACACATCATTACCCGACTCCATAGTTTGCCTTAAGGTTTACTCTTGGTGTTACACATTCTATGTGTAGACAAATTTATAATGATGTGCATCCACCATTATAGTATCATAATAAGTAGTTTCATGGCTCTAAAAATCCTTTGTGCTCCCAATATTCATCCCTTCCTCCTCTTTAACCCCTAGCAACCACTGATCTTTTTACTGTCTTCATAGTTTTGCCTTTTCCAGAATGCCAGAGGGTTGGAATCATACAGTATACAGCCTTTTCAAATTGGCTTCTTTCACTTAGTAATATGCATTTAAGTTTCCTCTAGGTCTTTTCATGGCTTCATAGCATATTTCTTTTTAGTGCTATATAATAACATTCCACTGTCTACATGTACTACAGTTTATTTATCTGTTCACCTACTGAAAGAATCTTGGTTGTTTCCAAGTTTTGGCAATTATGAATAAAGCTGCTATAACTTCCATGTGCAGGGTTTTGTATAGACAAAAAAAATATATTTACTGTCTTGTACATTAATTTTACATTTAAAATGTTATTAAGCTTAATAGTTACATAGAATAGAATTTCTGGCATATTATATGTTGTATTCTACGTGCTTTAAATATATTTGTCAAAACTTTGGTGCTAACAATTTAGCCCAATTTATAGAAAATACCATACAGTCTAATTGGCCGGATTTCTGTCAAACAAAGTCATACCTCATTTTAATTGAAATAAATGTATTGACACCATCCTTGTGGTAACTATCCCACTTTTTAAATCTAATTCTAACTTAGAAAACAGAGAAAGAAGGAGTTTGTTGTCCAGAAGGAATAAAGTCCTGCCTCCCCCAATATTTCTCACCTAACCCCTCTTTGGATTTCTGTCATGGGACACTGTGGGACAACGCATTCTGCAATTTTCTCTTGTTTGGGGGGCCTCAGAGATTTTGAGTATGGGGGCAATGAACCATAGTCAGAATTAGGATAAGAGAGAGATATACCTTTCTTTCATAAAGGGGTTAAGGGCTCTTGGAGAAAACAAACTGAAAAAGGAAGGAACAAATTGGAAAAGAAAGAAGACCCCAGGCATCCATTTTCAGGAGAGATGATTTTTAGTTCAGAGTACGTTTGAATCTGAAAATCTGAAGAATAATTCCCTTAAAAATATAACCCAGTTTAAAGATTAAAGTTCTTTGTCCTAGGGTATTTTACCTACCTATGATTCAGGAGGGATAAAGACATTTACAAGTTGAAGCTTCCTAAAATTTCTACCGGAATAAATATAAAAAGCTATGTAACTGCTTTGTTCTGCTAAAAGAAACAGTCTCAATTCTAAAATTATGTTAAACAGAACTGCTCCAGGCATTACTTTTATGAGTTTTTCCTTCATCTAAGTATGAAAAAAGAGAAAAGCACTTGAAATTTTTCAAAGAACAGTAAAAAGATTAATTCGCCCCAGATTGTTTACACACATAGAGAGATATCCACACAGACGGCAGAGCTATTTAATGCATCAAGCTCTGACTCAAACAGATAATACGTGCTGGACGTGATTAAACTTTGAGCTTAGCTGCCAGCTATGATTTGTCTCTGTTAGTTAAAGCAGTTACAATCTTTAGTCACTAAGACTTGCCTCATCAAGTTAGTAATACCTTATTCCACAGTGTCAAAATCAGATTTAAAACTTCAAGAAGCTTTAAAAAGATTCAGAAGGAAGCAAGAAGTATAAGAGAATACAAATTTTGAAAGCAACACTTCGGGGCGCCTGGGTGGCTCAGTTGGTTAAGCGACTGCCTTCGGCTCAGGTCATGATCCTGGAGTCCCGGGATCGAGTCCCACATCGGGCTCCCTGCTCAGCGGGGGGTCTGCTTCTCCCTCTGACCCTCTTCCCTCTCGTGCTGTCTCTCATTCTCTCTCTCAAATAAATAAATAAAATCTTTAAAAAAAAAAAAAAAAAAAGAAAGAAAGCAACACTTCAAAAAAACATATGGATTCAACACAATTCTACCACCATCTGACAAGTGGTTCTCCTTATTAACTTAAAAAATTCTGATGGTACACAGTAAAAAAAAATGTGTATTATCATTATCTAAATATATTATTTCCTTTTAAACTGACCACATCTCAGCTATTAACAAAAGGGTTCATACAACAAGTAAATTATGAGAACAGGCTCCCTCACACAGTATTCAGAGCCCCGTTAAGAAGGAGTACTCAAGTCCAGAGGCTAAAAGGGATTAAAGTTTAAGATTTTAATCCTTACAGTGTGCACAGTAGCTTTTCTATTAGCTTAGTTATTATTTGATGACTCTCTTGCAGTTCCCTGAAAGTGATGGGGAGATTAAAAAAAAGTGATATAGGGATGAGAAAGTTCATCATCAGTTTGCCTTGTAAAGGACAATGGGAAACAACTTTAACTTCTTGACAATGACCATGGTGCAAGAATCACCTAATTTCTCCTCTAATCACCTTCTGACCTTTTTTCCTTTTCTCGTGACTCTCAGGAATTGTGCAAGTAAACTAATCTGGAAAGATGAAGTTGTGCTACATACCCCCCATGCTCTGCCCCCACTCCTACTCATCATGTTCCCTACACTTTCTCCATCAACATTTAAAACAAAGCCACTGTCATTTCCTAAAATGACAATGGCCAGTTTGTGAACTTAAAAGAGGCAGAAAGTATCTAAAATCAATAACCTTAAAAGAATTTGTTACTAAGTGCAGACTAGTTTTAGGTTTCAAATTCACATGGAAACATTCACGTGGAAAACCCAGAAGGCTGATTTACTGAAGCTACTGCTGTTAATGTGGCTAAGCTACTACTCTTTACTACCGGCCTAGTCAAGTTTCATGGTTTACAGAACTACCTGCGTCAAGGTAAATCCCAAGATTCAAGGTCTAGGAAACCTCACCTTCTTTTACGTTCTTTTCCACTTGAAACAGAACAGAAAGAAACAAAAGACTGAACAAAACATTAAAAAAACATAAATCACTAGTGAAAGGAGAAATATAACTATACTACTGTTAACTAGCCAAATACTCAGCAGTTATGAAATGCATGGTTTTGATCAAACTCAATATAAAGAACCTAGAAAAATATAAACCTGGCTCTGCAAACTTCCAAATGTTTGTATCTCCCTTACCATTGAGGGCAAATCTGACCAGCGTTATAAAGAGTTAAATACACTATTCTTAAAGAGAAATTAACAATTTGCTAATTGTTAATCTTAAAGAAAGATTTTGGGTTTGTCCTTCATAATATATGAAAACTAACTGTAGATCTTACTTATATTTAGCTCATATTTATAATCTCTAAAAATATCAATATTTTAATTACTAATAATTTCTAGATTTTTTACTATTTACATGGTCAGACTATCCTACCCATAGATATAAAATAGATTTCTTTTTTTAATATAACAGATCTCAAAGTTTTTGGTCTAAAGCAACCTTAAACAGATACATAGTTGTACAAGGGAGTATTTTAATAGTCTTTTCAGATAATTATGGATATTTTACCTTGATACTACACCAAAATTTGATAAACTGTTACCTATCATCTTTTTTTAAAGATATTTATTTATTTAACAGAAAGAGTGAGAGAGCACAGGCAGGAGGAGCAGCAGAGGGAGAGGGAGAAGGAGGCTCCCCACTGAGCCAGGAGCCCGATGTGGGGTTTGACCCCAGGACCCCGGGATCATGACCTGAGCCAAAGGCAGGCGCTTAACCAACTGAGCCACCCAGGTGCCCCTATCATCTCTTAATGATTAGTTACAATGTGCAATCTAAGGATTCCAACCCTGAATCTTGAGGTCCTTGAAGGGCTCATAAACCACACTTTGAGAATGGCTGTTGTTTCAAATCATTAACTCTACTTGATTGCAAAAGTAACTAAATTGATATCTATTGGTTTTTGGCTTATTCAGATGGTATATCATCTTGGTGCATTCAGAATCTCTGTGGGCTAGGCAGTATTTTATAAGTGCTTTAGTAAATAATGATGTATAACTTGAATGTATTAATTACAGAAAAAAGCTGATGTACATGTATACAGGAAAGAGTGGTAGGAGATGATGCAGAATGGACTATTTTTCATTGTTAAGTCATGTCTATTTGAACTATATATATGTATTTTATACTTTGATAAAATTGTAAATATATAACCTCTCACATATTACAATAACTTTGAATAAGGATGTCAAATCTTTGCTCTTTTTATTCAGTCAGTTGAAAAGGAAAAAAATATGGTAATTCTATTATAAAACAAAATAATAATTTCCTTTCCTTTAAGAGTTCTTTGGCTTATTAGGCATTCCCTGTCATCCTCGTCACATTTTTTTTTAAGGATTTATTTGAGAGAGGGAGAGAGCGAGCACGTGTGCACATGTGCGTGGGTGGGAGGAAGGGGAGATGGACCGGGAAAGAGAGAGTCTTAAGC